ATCATTTCCTGCAACTTCAAGTGAGGATGCATGGCAGTGCCGCTAGTGGAGCAGGATAACATCAGGGCTGAACCCCAATCTCCTGACCTGTGACCTGAAAGTCTCACCAACACACCCACGCCACAGAAACCTCAGGATGCTCCAGGCCACCACAGTGCCCGCTCATCACGCCATGTAGGCTCCAGCCAGGTTCCAGCTGCCCTTGGTGTATCATTTACCCCCACCCCACCCCATCTCCCCCGGGGAGGAGAAGACCGGGCACTCACAGGTTGCTGGAGTACTGACTGCCCCCAAGGAAGCCATACTTGTCCGTCTTGCGCAGGGCCAGCCCGTTGGTCTCGGAGTCCGAGCCAAAGGAGCTCACATCATCCGCCAAGGACTCCAAGGTCCCGGACATGAGGCTCACGGAGTCCAAGCAGCTGAGTGTGTCCGGGGCCTGCCCGCGAGGCCCGGAGATACCGGGTCCCAGGCTGGAAGTGGAGCCCAGGTCTTGGGAGTTCTCGACAGGCTCCGGGGCTGGGGTCACCGTGACAACAGCTACGGGAGCCTCTCCGGTCCCTGGGGCCGAGGGGGCCGAGGGGGCCTGGCCTGCTGATGCTGAGGTCGCTGCTGCGGTTCCAGGGCCACTTGTCACCGGTCCCGTGGCGCCCCGTGAGGTCCCTCCCGAAGCCGCTGCAGTTCCCGGCTTCGGGGCCAGCGGGGGCTTGGCGGCCAAGGCCCCAGGAGCCATTCTGGAAGGGGTTCTGCTGGGGGTCTCCGGGGCTGCGGAGCTTGAGGTGCGAGTCTCCTCGGTCTTCGCTGCATCTGTCCCTGAGGCCGGAGTCATGGACGTCTCGGCCTCGGCCGCTGCCACCGGAACCGGCACCGAAGGTTCGGCGCCCGGGGATACCTGCTTCTCCGAGGCTTCCGCAGGGGAGGCTTCCAGCGTGAGCACCACCACCGTGGCGGCCGGGGCCGGTCCTGGGACACAGGCCGGCCGCGCCTCCCCGGGGGCCACCAGGGTGACGGGAGTCGAAGTGGCTGTAGTCACTGGTGGTCCCGGAGCTACCACCAGGACCGGCCCGGCCCGGGAAGCCCGGGGCGGCGGCGAAGGGGCCGCGGGGGCGCCATGACGGCGCGGCGGGGCTACCACGGGCGCCGGGCCCGTCTCCATGGCCGCGGGCCGCCCCTCACATCCCCCCCGCCGGGGAGGCCGCAGAAGGCGCCGCCCCTCAGGCCTCCCCGAGCCGCCCCGCCGGGGAAGCGGAGAGGGCGAAGGGCGCGGCTCGGCGCGCGCCGGGGGCGGGGCGGCGCGGGGCGGCTGCGGAGCGCGCGGAGGCGGGGCAGGGGTCGGGGGGCGCGGGGCGCCGGGGTCTCGCTCGCGCCCTCTCGCCCCCTCGCGCGCTCTCGCCGCCACCCCCTCCCTCCCGCTGAGGGCGAGCGGCCGACGTCGCGCCTGCGCAGACGCTGCACAGCCGGCTAAGCGGCCAGGGTCTCCGCCCTCCACGCCTGCGCGCCGGCCGGTCCATAGTGTTCCTTTTTTTTTCTCCCGCCTCCTTAGAGGATTTGGACGAATGAGAGGAGAGAAGGAACTGGGTTTCTACCAATCGCTGAAAGGGTGGGTGGGCTTGGAGGCGGGAAGGGGTGGTCAAGCTAGAAAGAGGAAACGGAGCCCGCGAACGGCTGAAAGACCGGCCAATCCTCTTGTCTGGCGAAGGCGGGACTAAGGGAGTAGCTATTAGAAAAGCGAGAACCTGAATCTCCTGGCCAATAAGCAAGGCTGAAGAGGGACTGGCCGCGGAAGGGCGGGGAAAGAGGGGGCAGGCCCTGTAGGTGTGGGAGGCGGGCCTGGGCGCCTCTAAGCTACAGAGTGGTAGGAAAGGAGCCAATGGGAAAGAGAGCAGGCGGAGGTCGAATTAACAACGAACGCTGGTCGGTAACAGACAGCATCCGCAGCCAATCGGAAGAGCTGAGGAATTATTTTATTCTCCCAAGATGGTCAAGAGGGAATGGCCGCTGGGGAAGGCGGGCTAAGTTTGTGATTTATTTGCCGGGTCAGCTGACCGTTTTCTCCTCCTTTAACGACCAGGTGGGAGGATAGATTGCTGTTTCAGCCAATGGGAGCATTGAAAAGGCAGGGATGCTACCAGCGGGCAGTGCCAACCCAGAGATAGACGGTGACAACCGGAGATGGGGGTGACAGTTGGGGACAGCGCGGAGAGACAGCCGGGGGACATTAGCGCAGCGCGTAACCAATCAGAGTGGTTATGCTTTGCCCTCCCCGAAGCTTTCCTGGACTCCGAGAGTCCATTCAGCTCGGGAGCCTACCACCACTTCTCTGTCCCGTGACGCTTGATTTCAATGTTTCTAGTTCTGCCCCAGCAACCCTCGACCCTCAACCCTTGACCCTCGTTTCCTGCAAGAATCCCAGGCCCCTCTCCCCAGCTCTCCTCCTTCTAAATTCCTCCCTAGAATACGGGATCTCAGCTCTCAGATTGCGGCCCTCTGAATGCCGCCTCCCCGCTCCCCCCAACACATACACTGGATCTTAGAACCCAAGTCCATGAATCCCAGCACCATGTCTGTGTTCATATTCTTTAAAGGAACTAGGACCCCAGTCCCATTTCATGAGCCCCACGGGTCGCCCCTGGACCGCAAAAGACCTGACTATGGGAGCTTCAACCTGTAAACTTAAAAAAAAAAAAAAAGATTTATCTACATTTATTGGAAAGGTAGATATATAAGAGAAGGAGCTACAGAGAAAAAGATCTTTCATGGGATGATTCACTCCCCAAGTGGCCACAACGACCTGAACTAAGCCAATCTGAAGCTAGGAGCCAGGAGCTTCTGGATCTCCCATATGGGTGCAGGATCCCAAGGCTTTGGGCTGTTCTCTACTGCTTTCCCAGGCCACAAGCAGGGAACTGGATGGGAAATGGGGTCAGCTAGGACAAAAATTGGCACCCATATGGAATCCTGGCAGACTCAAGGCTAGAATTTAGCCACTAGGCTATTGTGCCAGCCCTCCTTCCATGTTTCTGACACCCCCTTCTCGTATGGACCCTCAGTGTTAGAAGGAGTCAATTTCTGATTTCACATCTTCTCAGTTCCTCCCTGGCTCCTGAGTTCTCCCAAGCTCCTCATTCCCAATTCAACTCTCAATCCTGTGAATTCCCATTCTGAGTCTGATCTTCTCCACCTTCCATTTGTTTTGACCCAAGCATTCTGAACAACCTCCCCCTTTTCTCTTTTTTTGGAGTCTTCTCCCCACCCCCACCCCACCCCAGTAATAAGGGAAGCCCTCCCTGGCCTGGACCCCCGTAGTAACCATATAAGGCGAGGCAGCTGCCATCCGAGGCGGGGAGGGGCTGGTGCAGGAGGCCAAGGGCAGCTGCTAAGTATAGGGTGGCTTCTTCCCTCTTCTTAGAGACAACAGGTGGCTAGGCCCCAGTGCCCAGAAAGGAAAATGTCTTAGAGGCATTGGTATGGGCTGGGGGGAGGTGGGGGCAGAAAGGCATCTTCTTCAGGACATCGGATCCCAGAGGGAGCAGGAGGAGGGAGCAATGGAGTGTCCTAACCACCCCGGGCTTTCCTCTGCCATCATTTTCCTAGACTTCCAACTGTAGGAGGGAATAAGGGTCCCAAAACCTAGCGGGGTCAGAATGGGTACCTCACAATCCCAGAGACGACTCCAGGAAGAACCACTGGCCATCCCAGCCCCCCCCCCCCAGGAGGATGTGTCCTGCTGGCAGCCTTCCCTCCTCTGAATGTCAAAGACCACGTCCTTCTCCCACGTCACACCTTCCCCAGACCCTGCAGTGTCAGGGCACAGTTCCAGCACCGCCATTCTGACCAGCCCAACATCCCCAATCTTTCCCTCCCTGGACCTTTGTCCATGCCCTGCCCTAGGTGTAGCAAGCCTGCCCCTCCACCTCCTTCTGACTCTGGGGTACTTCCTGAAGCCAGTCCCTAACCCTCAGACAAGGTTGCTCCACCTTGACTTGGGGTTCATGAGCATTGGGGTACATTTCTTTCTGCCTGGCTGGACTGTAACTTCTACCGAGGCCAAGCCTCTTGTGACTTATAAAACAAGTTCTCTAAGGAGAGGGGTGGGGGGCAGCTCTATTTCATGGTAGGGAAATGAAGGCCCAGGGACTTGAAGCACAAATCCTAAGACCAAACCCCATCCCCCAGACTTTGAGGGGATATAGATCTCCATCCACAAGGACAGCACCAGGGCATTGCATGCTAAGCCTCAGGCTGCTCTGCTTCCCATCCAGCTCCCTGGTGGTACACCTGGGAGTGCAGCTAAGGAGGGCCCAAATACTTGGGCTTCTGCACCCTCATGGGGGACCTGGATGAGGCTCCTGGCTCTGGGCTTTGGATATGCCCAGCTCCAACCATTGCAATCATTTGGGAAGTGAACCTGCTGATGGAAGACGTGTGTGTGTCTAAGTTTCCCTCTGTAACTCTGCCTTTCAAATAAAAATAAGTGTTAAAAAAATTAAAGATCTCCACCTTCTACAGATGGTATGTTCCACCCCCCCACATTCACACCCTTGACTGTGAGCTTCACAGTGGCAGGGGGAGACTGTGCCAAGCTCAGCATACTGCCCGGTACACTGCAAGTCCTTGCTAAATGTTTCCTTGGCACCAAGGGGTACAGGATCTCAGCTCTTCTCTCTTCCAGAACTCAGCCTTGGTCTGGGCATCCCCTCTTTCCCTTGGAAACTCAAGCACATCCCAGCCAGTGTTTTGGGAGAATAAAATGTCTCTTCTTGCCTTGGTTCTGGTAACACATGCATCCCAGAACCTGTTCTTTCCTCTCTTACCTCCTCCCTTCTTCCCTCCCTCCCTTCTGTGGCTCCAGCTGCTGTGGGCCCTCCAAGAAAGGAGAGGCCCTGAGCCGGGCTATTTTGGTATCTGGGGTGGGCACCCGCAGGGCTAAGGTTACCGGGTGCGGTGAGGGCTCCCTGGGGCGGGAGTATATAACCCCGGAGGACTGCCTGGTGCTGACGCTGCCTCTTTGCCTTCTTCCAGTCACCGCACTGCCCAGCCTCTACGAGACCTGAGACATGGTAAGTGGGGATGCTCCCTGTCCCTGGCCTCACCTCCTGAAAGAAGACAGCTAGTTCCAATCTCAACAAAAGTTAAAAAAAATAGGCTTCCCTGTATTGATGCTGCTGAAGGGCGACAGACAGAATGAGGGTCCCAATACCCAATCTATCTCCAGGTTGGCCCCATGCTTTACTGCTCTGGCCCTTCTAAAGCCTCCTGGGAATAGCCAAACCTGGGTGCCTTCTATCATTTTGACACTTGAGAAGGTGATGGTTCAGACAGGGGAAAATCAGTGGATCCAGGTCAAACAGCATGTCTGGAGGGATGTAGACTTGGGGGGGGCAGAGAGGAATTCTGGGGATGTAATCATAGTAGCTCCTTCAGCAGAAAGGTCCCGAGGAGGAGGGGAAGAAAAAGAGGAGGCCACGGTGCAGACCTGAAAAGCTCCTTCATTTCCCAGAAGGGACTGAAAGACTCCTCTGAGGGTGGAGACCTGCTCACATGTCCTTTTGCCCAACTGTTACCTCCCAGGCACCCAAAAAGGCCAAGAGAAGGGCAGCGGCAGAAGGGGGCAGCTCCAACGTCTTCTCCATGTTCGACCAGACTCAGATCCAGGAGTTCAAGGAGGTGAGGGTGACTGAAGACCCCTCCCTGACACAGCCCCCTTTCTGGAATGTGCACCTGTCTGGGCGGGGGTGGGGGGAGCAGAGGGGAGAATTCCTTCCCCAACTCCCCAGGCGGGGTGGAAGAGGACAGCTGGCTGATGGCCAAAACCTGACCTCTCCCTGGAGTGGGAGTGCAGGTTGGGAGGTTCACGGGAACCTCACTCCTTTACACTCTTGTCCCCCACAGGCCTTCACTGTCATTGACCAGAATCGCGATGGCATCATTGACAAGGAGGACCTCCGGGACACCTTTGCAGCCATGGGTGAGCTGCTCCCTACCAGAGTCTGGAGAATTCAGTTGGCTCTGTCTGGGTTCCACTTTGGGCCTCAGTCTACCCAGCTGAAAAATAGTGGGAGGGCCTGAAGTGATGGGAAGCTGAGCTGTGGCCCAGAACTCTGCTCCAGACTCCTTCCAATCTCCTCCTGGCCCCCCTTCCAGGCCGCCTCAACGTGAAGAATGAAGAGCTAGACGCCATGATGAAGGAAGCCAGCGGACCCATTAACTTCACTGTCTTCCTGACCATGTTTGGGGAGAAGCTAAAGGGTAAGCCAAGTGTCATGGGGCCACGGTGCCAGCTGCCCCTCCCCCAACTGTCCACTCTGGGACACCCGCGCCTCCTCTGCTCTCTGACCTCCCCTCCCCCCAGGTGCTGATCCTGAGGACGTGATCACCGGAGCCTTCAAGGTCCTGGACCCCGAGGGCAAGGGCACCATCAAGAAGCAGTTGTGAGTGGCCCCGCATCTGTCCCCACACGGCCAAGGGTTAGGCACTGCCAGACAGGGAGAACTAAGACTTTGGACATAGGCAATGGGGGATTCCATCAAAAGGGGCTGGGGGAAGAAGGGCAACAAAAGGGAAGCCCTTGGGGGTCAGCGAGTGACCTCCTGGCCATCAGGGAAGGCGGGGTGGTAGCCCCGGGCATGGAGTGCCCACGCGAGCCCAATCTCAAGTGGGTCCATCACCCTTGCAGCCTCGAGGAGCTGCTCACTACACAGTGTGATCGCTTCTCCCAGGAGGAGGTGAGTGGGGACAGGAGGCTGGGAAGGCGGGAGGGGGCCAGAGAGGAAGGCTGGCTGGCCTCAGGACCGGCTGATACCCCGCGTCTTTCCCTAGATCAAGAACATGTGGGCCGCCTTCCCCCCCGACGTGGGCGGCAACGTAGACTACAAGAACATCTGCTACGTCATCACACACGGTGACGCCAAGGACCAGGAGTAGGGGGACCCTCTGGGGCCTCCTCTGACCGGCTAGTCCGACCTCCACCCCCTTCCCCCGACTCCCAATAAAAATCGACTGGTCTTTGTTTCTTATGGGTGGCGCCTCTGCAGAGTTTGTGGGCGCGGGCAGGAGGGTGGGCTCACGCGACCCCTGGGGACCCGAAGGTGTGGCGGTGGACACGCGAAGGCCGCGGGACAGCTGGAGTTTTTATTGAAGTCGGCGATGGGCGGGGAGGAGCGGGGCCGGAAGAGGGGCGTGGCCGCCGCTCCGGGGCGGGGCCGGGGGCGGGGCTCTAAACTCCGCGACTCTGGGAGAGCCGTTCGGCCCGAGAACCCGCACAAAGCCCACGCAAGGGCGGCTGTGCCGGAGGTGGCTCAGTCACCTGGCAGCGTAGGACCCGGCATTGGGCTGGAGACAGACTGCAGGCGGAGCGCAGGTGAGTCCCGGCCGGGCGGGGGACCTCAGAGAGCGTCCGACTGCTCGCCCGAAGCCTGGCTCTGCTGCATCTGGGCCTGCATCTTCTCCAGCATCTCCTGCATGCGGCGCAGCTGTGCGGGGCGAGAGTGCAGACGGTGGGGTCGCGCGAGCCCGGAGCCGGACCCCGACGACGAGGGCCTGGGCCTTGGCGGGCGTGTTGGGGGTGGAGTGGGAGCGAGGTGGTCCCGCTCACCTCTTCGTCCTTCTCGCGGATCAACTTCTCCGTCTCGGCCAGGGGCAGCATGGGCAGGGGGATTTCTGTGGCGCTCTGGCGGGAAAGCTTACTGGGGGTGTGGGGGGAGGAACGGGGATCAGGAATGGAGGTTCCAGGCCGAGAGGCGGGGCCTGGGGCGAGGTGGGGCCCCTGCAGGCTGAGCCATTTCCACAAGATTTGGACCCGAAGCCAAGTGGGTGGAGAAAATCCGGGAGAGAGAGTGAGAGAGGGGCCTGGGTAATGCAGGCGGGGCCGTAGGGAGGGGGTGGAGTTCGGGAAAAGCTGGGGTTCTGGGCGGGGTCTTTTCCGGAAGGGCCGCACCTAGCGTGGGCCTCCTAGCCCAGGATCCCCTTGGCCGGTGGACTTGAGTCTCACCTGCGGTTGGTCCGAGCCCCGGGCCGGGCCAAGCTCTGCAGACAGCGGGCCCGGTAGCCCTCATAGAGAAGATCGTGTGTGACTTCTTTCAAGTCCTGCAGGTGTGTCTGCACCAGCATCCGTCGCAGGTTCAAGAAATCGCAGTGATGTGGGTTCTCCACTGGCGGGGGGGGGGGCGGGGGCGGGCCAGCAAGCATCAGGGAAGTTGGGATCCAATCCCAGCCTCAGGGTCGGATCTGCACCAGTTCCTGCCACCATTCCAGCCCAGGGTCCCGTGTCCACATCCTAAGGACTCTTCTTGGCATCTGGGACCACAGCCCACCCAGAAACCCCCAAACTCCCACGTTTAGGTCCTGCTGACTGGAAAGTGGCCCAGTGTTGGCTGCTGGCCGGACGTGACTCACCCTCCACAGTACCCCACGAGTAGTGGCGTCCCCTCACTGGACGTGACCCGCCGTCTCTCACCACCTCGCAGGAACCCACGACTGCGAAAGGGAGGCTGCTCTAGAGGAGGGGAGTCAGGGGTCACCGTCTCAGCCCCCCCTTGCTATCTTCCTCCAGCCCTCGCTCCCCCTCCCTGGGGCCGCTCTCACCTTCATTTCTGCATCCTGCCTCTTGAAGTCTTCATCTTCATCTGAGTCGCAATCTGGGAACTGGTAGATGTTGATCTCCTCCTCCTTCAGCTGATCCCGGATCTCCAAAGAGAAAGAGACAGGGATGGTAAGAAATGGAGGGAAAGAGTCACAGCTAGGACGCTGTCACCGAGAGAGGGGAAGATGCCAAAGGCAGGGTGGTAACAACTGAAACTAAAGCAGAACTGAATCCAAAATCCTGGTGTTTGGCGAATCAGCAGGAGGGGTTCTAGGGTGGTGGGAAGGGGGACAGAGCTTCGTGGGACCAGACAGGTATCACAGGTCATCAAATATCTAAGTCCAGGCCCATATAACCACCCATGCCCAACCTCCCTCACCCAAACAGCCCTCCACAATCAAAACAAAGTCAAAGCCTAGTTCAAGTTCGGTCATGGCTTTTGGCTTCCCTTGGGGCCAAAGGTCAGAGGTCACCATCCCCACCTTCTGCTTGAGGGCCTGGGTTTCCTGGGGCAGCAGAGCGTCTGCTTTGCCGATGACCGGGATGATGTTGACTTTCTCGTGCACCGCCCGCAGGAAGGCCACATCGAGGGGCCGGAGCCTGCACCCAGCAGGGATGGGTCAGGGCCCAGTCCCAGGGTGCACAGGGTCAGCCTCTTTCCTCCCCCGCCCCTGGTGCTCCCAGGGTGCTCCTCAGACCCCCGGCCGAAGGGCGAGATGAAGTAGAGGCAGCAGTGGACGCGGGAGTCCTGGATGTTCTTGCGGTTCAGGCCGCTCTCATCCCTAAGATATTGCTCGAACTGCTCTTCAATATAGCGCACCACGGGCAGCCAGCTGGGGAGAGGAAGTGCCCCCAGAGGTCAGAGGCTGTGGGAGCAAGGAGCAAGATGCGGAGGTGGGGCTGCCACTTCCGTATCCCCTGTCAGCATGCCAGGCTTAAGTCCCTGTTCCTCTGCTTCTGAGTCAGTTTCCTGAGGATGCCCACCCAGGAGGGTAGCAGGTGATGAACTGCTGAAGTATTTGGGACCCTTTCAGCCACCGGAAACCCAGCTGAAGGTCCCAGCTTGGGCCTGGCCCTGCAACAGCCAGTGCAGGCAGGCACTTGGGGAGTAAACCGGACAAAGGAAGCTCTTTCATCTCTCTCAATCTATCTTTCAAATAGAATAAAATGAAAATCTAAAAATAATAAAATGAATTTTAAAAGGCATCAAGAGAGCCGGCAGGGGTGTGGGTAAGACAGCCAGGAGCGCAGGACTGGGGCAGCAGTGGCACAAACCCTGATCTGATTACATCACACATCCTGTCACCCTCTGCCCCATAAATGTATTGTCAGGATTTATTTTCATATTATTGGAAGCAGAATTCTCCCATCGCCTACAACAGTCAAGGCTCGGCAAGATTGAAGCCAAGAGCCTGGAAGTCAGTCTGGGTGTCCCAGGAGTAACAGGGACCCAAGTCCTTGAGCCAGCACTCAGTGTATGCATCAGCAGGAAGCTGGATTAGAAGCAGAGCTGGGACTGCCTCTATCCCATACTCTGATAAGGGATGAGGGCTCTCCAGGTTTTATCTTTAACTGCTACACCAAATGTCTGCTCCAAGATTTTTTTTTTAAGGTTTATTTTCATTTGAAAGGAAGTCATAGATTCCCCAAATGGCTGCAATGGCCAGAGCTAAGCTGATCCAAAGCCAAGAACCTCCTCCTGGTCTCCCACACAAGTACAGGGTCCCACAGCTTTGAGCCATCCTCCACGGCTTTCTCAGGACATAAGCAGGGAGCTGGATGGGAAGTGGAGTAGCCGGGACTAGAACCAGCCCTCGAATGGGATGCTGGCACTGCAGGCAGAAAGGCTTAGCTTACTATGCCATGGCACCGGCAAGATTTTTTTTTAAAGCTGTGGCATAGCAAATAAAGCCTCGGACTGCAGTCCTAGCATCCTGGTCTCTGCTAACATACTTGAGAAAGCAGTGGAGGATGGTCCAAATGCATGGGCCCCTGAACCCACGTGGGAGACCTGAAAGAAGCTCCTGGATCCTGGTTTCAGCCTGGGTCAGCCCTGGGAATCACAACCATCTGAGGAGTGAGCCAGTAGATGGTGAATTCCCTTATCCCCCTCCTGCCTTTCAAATTAAAAAAAAAAAAAAAGCAAATAAAAAAGAAAAGCACAGGGCACTTTGGGATACATTGTGTGTGATGGAGTCCGGACCACCCACTCTGGTCTGGAATTGCACAGAGGGGCAGCTTCCCCTTAGCCCCCTCACCAGTCGGAGCAGTCCACCGCGTCCCCGAAGCCAGGTGTGTCGACCAGGGTCAGCTTTACTTTCACGCCTCCCTCTTCGATCTCCACATCCCGGCGCTCGATGGTCAGCGTTTGTGTCAAGCGAGCTATGAGGAGGACAGGGAGGGTCTCGGGGCTGCCTGGGGTCTCAGTGGGCACTCATTTCCTTTTTCCAGCATCATAGCTGCCCCCCTCGCCCACCCCCCCCCCCCCCGTGGAAAAGCAACACATGAGGCGGGGGTGGATGGGGGAGCAGCGGTACTCTCACCGCTGACTTCCGGCACCTGCCGCTCCTCATAGAGGTTGGTGTGGAAGAGGCTGTTGATGAGGGTGGATTTCCCCAGACCTGACTCCCCTAGGGAGAGACATGCCTGCTTGGTTGGTAGGTGAGAGAGCAGCCAGGTCCCCCTCCCCAGCTCCCATCGTTCCTCTCCAAACCTGCCACCATGAGTGTGAAGTCAAACCCCTTCTTGACGGACTTGCGGTGCAGCTGGCTGGGGAGAGCTGCAAAACCTACATACTCCTTGTCCTGTTGGCAGGGGGCGGATGACTTAAGGTGGCCGCAGGGGCAGGCAGGGACCCCAGCATCACCGGAACTCAGCGACTCGGCCTGGGTCTGGCCACCCTGGGAGTAGGGGGCTAGGGGGCCCAGCTACTGGATTCCTCGGCAGAGGGACTCACCATGGCTCTGCTGGCTGTTGCTGCACCTGCTGTCGCTCCCCACTTCCTCTGGCGGGACAGGAAGTTGAGGGCGGCAAACAAGGGGGCGGGTGGTAGGAAGTTCCGATGCAGAGTCCGCCCAGGCCAGAGAGGTGATGAAAACCATGACCATGACAGCAGGTGGGTGGGAGGCGGTCCTCACCTGTATCCATTTTCCCATCATGCTTCTGGCAGCATCAACCCCTCCATTCTCCACATTCCTTTAGTCCAAGCCCCACAGCAGCCTCTTTACCATGATGAGAGGCGGGGTGTGGGCAGAGCGGAAGGAAGCAGGCTGCTGTCTGGCAGGTGAGAGAAAGGCTGACAGGATGATTTTTTAAAAGTTCCAGGGATGGCTGTGTTGACACGGTTGGGTACATCCACATCCCGTATTAAAGCACTTGGGCTCAAGTCCCACCTGAGCTTCTGGTCCTAGCTTCTTGCTAATGGGCAACTGTGGT